AATTATGCAATATACATTATATTTACAAGTGATGTAGGCTGTCCGTTATAATTGATACGTATCGGTATGTAGTTGACTGTATAATTTATCCATATTTCCATAATAGTACGTGCCTAATACTACGTATCGGTACGTTCATTATCGTTACCTTTTTATATTTTAAAATGACGATGATGAGTTATTTTAAAATAACGATGATGAATAGATGAATATCGCATGGGAACATGTGATATTAATCTAATGTGTGTACACATAATACCCATAAAAATATAATAAATAGCTGGGAGAAAGATCATTTCGTGTCTTTTAATTCTCATACCTGCTAATTTCTTATCTTCACTTTCGAAAATGGAAAAACAGTTTAGCGTTCCTGTTGGTCCCGAAGTCGAAGGAGAAACTCCTATTCGCCGTTCTTTGATTTCTCCAAAACAACTTATAGATTCTCCTTCTGAGAGCATTAAAACTTTATATGATGTAATGCAATATGGTATCAACACTTATGGTTCTAGTAAATCAGCCATGGCCTATAGAAAAATTGAAAAAATAATTGAGGAAGAAAAAGAAGTGACTAAAATCGTTGGGGGTGAAGAAACTAAGGAAAAGAAAATTTGGAAATATTTTCAATTGTCGCCATATATTTATTTAAGCTATACAGATATTGGAGAAGAAATTAAAAATCTCGGATCTGGTTTGGCAAATCTTGGTTTGCAACCCAATAATAAGATAACAGTTTATTCAACCACTAGGTATTTTTGACTACTAAATTTATGTTTCTTCTATTATTAATCATAATTTAACCGTTTCTCTTAACTATTGACAGTGCTAATTGGATGCTTGTGACACATGGTATAAACTATTTTCTGCTTTGACGAATTATTTGATATGTATTTTTGTGAATGTGTTAAAAAAGATTGCCTATAATTTATTTCAGCATGCTTCAGGCAAAGTATCACTATTGTTACAGCATACGAGACTCTAGGAGAAGACGGTCTTTTACATTCTATGAACGAATCGGAGGTTAAAGGCATGTTCACCAACGCTGATCTGCTTCCAACGGCTGAAAAAGTTGCCGGAAAAGTTCCAACGCTTCAATATATTATCTATGATGGTGAAGATTCAAAAGGAATCGCTAACAATTTAAAGACTAATCATCCAGGAATTAAAATATTAACCTTGGATGAACTCAAGCAATCAGGCAAAGAACAACAGGTGGATCCAATTCCACCAAAAGCGGATGATTTATGTTGTATTATGTATACATCTGGTAGTACAGGGAATCCAAAAGGTGTCTTGTTGAGCCATGGAAATTTAGTAGCTGCGGGTGAGTTTTTGTATTAGGTGATCCAAATTTCCATAATATGATGACGTCGCTTACCGTGTATATAATCATTTTAGTTGCTGGCATAAATGAAATTCTTATAAAACATATTCGGCCTGATGATACTTTAATCACTTATCTTCCTCTTGCTCATGTGCTTGAATTCGCCGTGGAACATGTATGTATTTGGTGGGGTATAACTTTAGGTTATGGTAACATACGTACATTGACGGATGCATCTGTACGTAATTGTAATGGTGATATCCGAGAATTTAAACCAACCTTGATGGTTGGTGTGCCGGCCGTTTGGGAATCCATTAGAAAAGGTGTTTTGGCAAAGGTCAACTACATACCGATACGTATCAATTATAACGGACAGCCTACATCACTTGTAAATATAATGTATATTGCATAATT